GACAGACGGCGGATAGCGACTTTGTTTTATAATATGTAGTGTGTAGGTAGGTACAATAGTAATATTTTTCTTTTTTTAACACATATATTAACTTAAGCAGGACATAACATAGCATTTGTTATAATAGCTGTACTATATTGAATAAAATAATTTCGACACAATAACATTTTTTTTTTCTAAGACAATTAAGTAATAAATTAAATATAAAAACTCAAAAATTCTAAACAAATAATAGGAAACCTTCTTACGTAGATTCTCTGCTTGTTATGACTACCTCAGTCTGTTGATGTTGTAGTTGTATTTATGTCATACTAACTTCTGCCAGCGGCTTCTCTCGCGTTCACGTGGAATATAAAGTGGCCTATGTTCTAGACTATAATCTACCCCAGTTTCAAATTTCGTCTCGATCCCATCCACTATTTTAACGTGAAGGAGTCACAAACGAACGAACATACAAACTTTCGCATTTTTTTATGGCAGTAGCCGGTAAACGAACAGACGGATCACCTGATGGTAACCAATCGGCGCGTCGTCCATGGACACCTGGAACACCAGAGGCGTTACAAGTGCGTTACCGGCCTTTTGGGGATTAGGAGTTTGAGGATCGTTGGGGATTCAGGGATTGGAAAGATTTGGGAAGGGGAGGGTAATTGGGCCTCCGGTAACCTCACTCACACGACGAAATACAACGCAAGTGTTGCTTCGCGTCGGTTTTCTGTGAGGCCGTGGTATCACTCCAGTCGAGCCGGCCCATTCGTACCGAAGCATGGCTCAACACTTAAATATAATTTATAATATTGGTAGGATTTGCTAAACAATGTTTTCATTTCATTCTATACAAAATATACTAGAGGTTAAGTCCATTTTTTTGTAATCTTCTATTTTATAATAGTTCGAGGAAACTATATTAATCTATTCACAGACAGAGTATTATTTATTTTGTATTTGTTGACGTTTCAAAAGTACCAAACTATGGTTTAATTGAAATAAATGCTTTGACTTTGATTCGTATTTTCAGCTACGAGTGTTCTACTTTTTTAAAATATGAGCATCGTTAAAACCGGCTTATGTTGTACGTCGATAATGTGCCGTGGAACTTACAATATAGTAGTTTTACACACATACATATATAACTTCACGCCTGTCTCCCATGGGGGTAGGCAGAGACTAGGGAACGCTAATTACTACGATTCTTACAAACCGCTTTCGCTTCATCAACAGTCATCAATCTTTTCATGCATTCTCGTCGGTTAAGGGTACTTTAAGTAGTTCTCCGAATTAGATACACTATTTCATAAAAACCTTAACAAAAGTGATAGAATTGGAATTACAGTATGTAAATCACTGTTTAATTTCTTGAAAATTAAAATGTTAGACATTTTCTACATAAACTCAACTATTCCTAAAAAATATTTACTGTCTTTACTAAAGCAATAAAAACCTCAAGCAATTGAAAATCAACTCCCATTGTAAACTCCATAAAGTTCGTCATTCCTCCGTTGATTCGGTAACGACCGGCGAAATCCGGCTCTAGCTGGATCTAACCAGATTTATGCAGTTCAAACTGGCTTCAGACTTGAGACGTAGGAAATGCAAATGTGGATTTAAAGGTAGATCAACGGCGGCGACGAAGTCGTTCAAGTTTTATGTTCATCAGCTTCTTTGGTTGTTTTATGACAAGTATTTTTTGTGTTTAAGAGGTTTAAGAGGCCCGCTGGTTTAAGAGGCCCGCTTCTCAAGCATGAGGGTGCGGGTTCGATACCTACCAACGGCAAGTACGAATGTGACTTTTTCTGAGTTATATGTACTTTCTTAGATTATCTAGACATCACTGACAAACAGTGAAGGAAAACATCGTGAGGAAACCTGGGCTTATAATTTCTAATTATAAGTCTGTAATCGCCAACCCGCATTGAACAAGCGTGGTGATTAAGGCTCAAACCTTCTCCGTGTGAGAAGAGGCTTTGCTCAGCAGTGGGCATTTATTGGCTGTTGATGATGATTTTTTGTGGGTTGTTTGTAGATTTAGTTCTAATGATTAGGTCTTTTCTTGATTTTGATGCTGAGAGGCGCATACGACTAATGACTGTTGAATCGAAAGCAGTGTGTAAGAATCGTAGCAATTAGCGTTCCATAGTCTCTGCTTCGTTATAATTAAGCCTACGCATGTGCATCAGCTAAAGAAAAATAAATCAATACATAAACATCATCATCATCATAATATCACGCCATTTTTATTCACGAAAGCGTAGGCAGAGGTGCACATTACGACAATTAATGCCACTGTACAATGTAACACCCACTTTTCACTATTTATGTTCTGAGTCCCATGTAATAGGGGGTGAGCCTATTGCCATTATACCGGGCACAGTTCCAGACTCCGTGCTACCACTGAGAAATGGCCAGTAATACTTTGCCCTAATCGGGAATCGAACTCAGTCATAAATAAAGAACATATATTATAGCTTATAGCGTTGCTTAACAGTAATAATAACATCGTACATTCTGTCTCAATAACAATAATTTATTATGAAATGTTCCGTGAAATCCGATTATGAATGATGAAAGCAGACAATGCATTTATTATGGTGCATTATGCAACCCTACCACTTCGGAGTATAAAAAATATATTGGAGTTTTAATTTTGTGTATACTGTATAATATGTTACAAAAGAATAAAATATTTCTGTGGTGTCTACTACGGTCGATACGTAGGTATATGTGTGTAGGTAAGTGTGGGAGAGCCATGCTTCGACCGGAGCCATGCTTTGGCCGGCTCGACCGGAGCGATACCACGGCCTCACAGAAAACCGGCGTGAAGCAACGCTTGCGTTGTGTTTCGTCGTGTGAGTGAGGTTACCAGAGGTCCAATTACCCTCCCTTTCCCCAATCTTTCCAATTCCTGAATCCCCAACGATCCTCAAACTCCTAATCCCCAAAAGGCCGGTAATGTACTTGTAACGCCTCTGTGTTCCAGATGTCCATGGGCGGCGCCGATTGCTTACCAGCAGGTGATCCGTCTGCTCGTTTACCGACTTATGCCATAAAAAAAGATATAACTATTACAATAATAGCATGAAAGATATGGTTTGTTGATTGCGCTAAAATCTAAAATTGTTAGTCGGATTGATAAAAACATTATTGCATTTGTTTTCCAATACTTATAAAGGATCATAAATGATTCTAACATCACACCAATTGACGTACAATAAACTTTTCAAGAATAAAAACTAGTACCCCAAGTTTTTCCTCGATAGTTCTATTTCTAGACCAAAAATAGCTCTTAACTTGACCGATATTGGGTCGAAGTTTCTTTGAGGGGAGAGCTTGTTTATATCTGTCCTAGATTGCGAAACTTTTGTAGTTCAAAAAGAGAATAGAATTTTTTGTTCACAGAATTCGGGTACGGTCACAATTGGTTTTCATTGTAGATAAAAAAAGATACCAAACGTGTTCATATTGCGTTCGCAAAATGGCGCCGATTTCCGCGTGACGTTTTGCCGCGCAACAAAATATGTAATGAACTGCCATTTGTTTGTTTTTTTTTGTACGTTATGATGGCATGTAGGTATTGCGAAGTATGATTTTGAGATTTTAATTTATTATTATTGAGATTTTATGTCGTAAGTTCTATTTATTTTCACCTATTTTTGGAACAAAAAGTTGCATTCAAAACAGTCGAATTGTCCTCATCAACTTATTAAAACTTAATGGTTTTTTTTTATATTTGATGGGCCGACGTTTACCACTATCTCGCCTGATGGTAATCGATTATGCGGTCCACGATGGAGCACGTCGTCCCATAAGCAACCTATTCACACGTGCCTTAAAGACATCCAGGTTATACCCTTAGGAAATACAGACTTAGGCAAAGAATTCTACTCCTTAGCAGTACGCACAAGGGAGCTTGATACGAAGCGCTTCGTCTGTGGGTCTACCATGAATCGGTGACGCTTTGTCGATTGTCAACGTTTATAAATAGTAAACTTTTACATTAACATATTTTTATTATTAAATAACAGCTAAGAATTTATAATTAAGCAAAATTTCTGTGTATTTTAAGTAGGTATACTTCTCTACTCTCTACTTTAATTTATTCTGTCTCCTACAGTAATTCATCGAAGGAAGTGGAAACTATAGTTTTTCTTCTTCTCCTCTTATAATATCTTCTGATTCACTTCGTTGCGGGAACCAAGACAGTTACTCATGTTCCTGGGACGCGCCGCACTTCAGTGTTCCGGTGTTTTCATGATTGTATCTACTATAGATCCTGGCTTACAGGAGTTGCAGCGGTTTTGGGAGGTTGTGGCGGGCTTGTCCCTTAAAAAAATTCTTCTCTAACAAACCTTTAGAGGAAAAGTAAGCATTTAAATCATATAGTAAATCAACTTTTGGGGATTCTTTAACCCTTTCCATATGTTCAACCGAGAAAAACAATGCCATACTGTTATCTGAAAACTTGTTCAGGGTACTTTTTTATTATTACTCTTATATTTATGTATTATCACGCGAAAGGAGTTCGTTCAAAGTTTTGACAAAGAGCTCTTTATGAATACTTGAAACTTTTTCTTTGACTTGCGTTTGAAATTACTTGTAACTTAGCTTTATGGTAGTGTCGAGTCTAAGAGTCGTTTATTTATATAGAAGTTCATAACATAATATCACACCTATTTATCCCCGAAGGGGTAGGTAGAGGTGCACATTACAGCACTTAATGCTACTACAACGTAACACCCACTTTTCACTATTTATGTTATGTGTCCCATGTAATAGGGGGTGAGCCTATTGCCATGTATCGGGCACAATTCCAGACTCAGTGCTACTACTGAGAATTTTTACCAATTTAAAACCCAGCAATATTTTCCCGACCCGGGAATCGAACACGAGCCCCCTTGCACAGCAGTCGCACTTGCGACCACTCGGCCAACGACAGCAGTCCTATGTTACGGTACTATGGTACTACATGTGAGTTAATGCAAAATTAAACATAATGGACTTACCATTGTAATGTAGTCTTCTTTTTAACCTGCAAACAAGAAAAAAGTTTATATTATTTCTGTTAATGAAAATGATTTTTTAGATAAAAATATTGTTACTTCCAGTTCAGTCATATTTACGATTATACTCTGTCAAGGATGCTATCATTAGAATTTGGAATTATTGTTGGTGCTTTGAACACGTTAGTGTAATTTATGCAATTTCCACTGTTCACCTTGGATTATTATCTTCTATGCGTGTTATAATGTCGCGGAGAACCTAACGGGTTACCGGAGCTCCAGCTCGAAGTGCAGGAGAAGGTACGGGGTTTGGTTTTTAGTCAGTAAGAGTCTGACAATTCCCACCCCACTCAGGCGGGAGCAATCATTCGATGATTTGCCCCGCTTAAAAAAAATACTTGTTATACTATACATAATAGTCTAGTGCATGGCTTGTGCCTATTGTTCTAGAGCAGGGCTGTCCAATCTATATACCCTCGCGGGCTAATTAAATTTATTTTTGTATGTTTGTAATGAATAGGCTCAAAAAGTACTGGGCCGATTTAAAAAATTCTTTCACCAATAGAATTTTGAAAAAAATTAGGGATCCTTGGTAAAATTTGAACAATGTAACCGAAGGTGTAGAAAAATGAGTCTTAAAATCTCTTTCGTCGAATGCGCTGCCAAAACTATTAGCGATAGAACAAACATCATAAAAACAACAACAACAACAACATCTACAAAAAACTCCGCCGTGGCGTATGTCCAACTATTGTAGTTACGTCACTACAACATTCCAAATTTCCAAAAATAAATAATTGTCTACCCCGTGCGAATCCGGGACGGGCTGCTAGTAAACCAATAAAGCTACACACTATCTATATACCTTATACATATCTATACACCGATATTCCACCAATAAGTCCACCAGGAACAAACAGTAAGGAATCACAATATTTGAACTAGACGCTAGGTAAATCCTATTACGAAGCAAAGTCGAGTTTGCAACTTTTTCCAATCGGCTTACAGTACTGTTGTGTAGAAAAGTGTTACTGTTCAAGCGGAATGAATCTGTGCCATTCTATTTTATAGCCCATTGCACGCTTTTAAAGTGTATTTTCGATAGTTTTAAGGATATTGCATGGGTTAGAGAGATTTTTCAGTAATAGTGGTATTTTTGGATTTAGATTTTGAGTGTTTTCTAATAGTTTTTAGTTTAGGTGAATAATATAGTGATATGAATTATTACGTTTAAGTTTACTCACGTAGCTGGTTGACTAGGAAGTGTAGAAGTAAAATAAGAAAGAAGAAGTAAGGAATAACATTTATTTTGACAGTACGCACGCACACAGATACAAAAATACAAAAAAAGAATTGAAAAACAAATATACATGTAGGTAATTTTACAGGTAATACAAAACAAAAATAACATCATAACATCATTTTCACCTTTTATCCCCGAAGGGGTAGGCAGAGGTGCACATTATACCACTGTATAATGTAACACCCACTTTTCACTATTAATGTTATGATTATGAGTCCCATGTAATAGGGGGTGAGTCTATTGCCATATACCGGGCACAATTCCAGACTCCGTGCTACTATTGAGAATATTTAATAACCCAGTAATACTTTGCACGACCCGGGAATCGAACTCGGGACCCCTTGCCCGGCAGTCGCACTTACGACCACTCGGCCAACGAGGCAGTCAAAACAAAAATAATAATAATAAAAATTGTTTGCTAGGGATCGGAGACTTCTAACAACGTCAGTATCTATAGTTACATAATATTCAATAAAATTATAAAAAAGTTAAAAATAAAATCTTCTGAAACTTAAATTCCGTAGACTTAAATTCAATTTTCTTTATAAGTGTACTTTCACAAACAAAGTTTCCATCTTGCTAGCTAGACGTCCAGCTTAACTCTTTACGGAGACGAGTGTCAAATTCCCACTATTACTTCTTATTTATAACAGCTTTTTAAATGTGGGAGAGCCATGCTTCGCCACTAATGGGCCGGCTCGACCGGAGCGATACCACGGCCGGGCAGAAAACCGACGTGAAACAACGCTTGCGTTGTGTTTCGTCGTGTAAGTGAGGTTACCGTAGGGCCAATTGTCCCCTAATCTCCTCAATCACTGAATCCCCAACAATCCTCAAATTCCTAATCCCCATATGGCTGGTAACGCACTTGTAACAGCTCTAGTGTTTCATGTCCATAGGCGACACGACGAAACACAACGCAAGCGTTGCTTCACGTCGGTTTTCAGTGAGGCCGTGGTCAAACACACGTATGCATATATACGTACAGGTCAAACAGAGAACCCCTGTTGTTTTTTAATTATTATTATTACAAATTTCTATGTTTTGTCTGATACAACTCTCAATTCTACCCACCCCTAAAGAAGCCACAGTAATCTGATTATTATACACAAATCACACTTAATATTATAAATGTGAAAGCTTCGTAGTTTAGAAGTTTATAAGTTAATCACTCTGAAACTGCTGAGCGGATTTTGATGAAATTCGAAATTTGGTATACATGCAGGCTGACGTAAGTGGTAGGATACTAGATCTCGATTAAATACTCCCATGGGATAAAAAGGAATACGCGGGTAAAAGCTAGTGATTAATAATGATTTTAAAACTCCCAAATTATAAGAATCGTAGTAATTGGCGTTCCCTAGTCTCTGCTACCCCCATGGGAGACAGACGCGAAGTTATGTATTTATGTATGTATGTATGTATAAAACTCCCCAGTAACAACTATTAACTCAACCAAATTAATTCAGCCGATAATTGAATTTAATCAGTGCAGTGTACGAATAATTCACTGCCTGCCCCGTCCGGAAAAATAACGGATGCATTTTAAAATTCATAAAAAACCGTTCATATGAAACACTATTATTTTTTATTTCACTTCACATTCTCATTATAATATTAAAACTACCTTTCCCTGCTACGCAAAACTAAATCTTAAAATCACCGCGCAAACATCCAATTTTGCATTCCCGCAAAACGGAAGCCAACAGCTCCACAACCATACAAGCAAAATTCCACATTCAACTATCGAGAACAGAGTTTAAAATCCATTGCAAGTTTGTAGCAAAGAACACGAGTAACCAAAGCTGACTCATGTAGTTTGCTAGTCTGAAATATGTCGTTTGTTCTTTAGAATAAAGTTCAATGTAAAACTTACGTGTTGGGATGATATTTCGTGCTCTCTGCGTCAACATCGGGCAAGTCGTGTGTGTTGGGGACAAGCAAGGCATCTGCAAACAAACAAAATACTATTATATATAGATAGTAGGATTTACGTAAGACCTGTAGTGAGCTATGAAAAAATCTAGACTGTACTCGGGTATTATCTTTTGCTTGTTATACTGAATGAGTCGAGAATTTATGATGAGACAGTTTTTTATACTGTGTCTTTTATGTTTACAAGATTGTCTCGTTTGATGATAAGTGATAAATATGCTAAGTTAAGTTTCCGATGTTTCCTAAGTTAGGTAAGGGTTTGTTAAGTTTTTGGTATCTTGAATTATCTGCCTCATAGGCCGAGTGGTCGCAAGTGCGACTGTCGGGTAAAGGGTCTCCGGTTCGATCCCGGGTCGGGCAAAATATTACTGGGTTGTTAAAATATTCTCAGTAGTAGCACGGAGTCTGGAAATGTGCCTGGTATATGGCAATAGGCTCACCCCCTATTACATGGGACTCATAGCATAAATAGTGAAAAGTAGGTGTTACTTCTGTGTGCACCTCTGCCTACCCCTTCGAGGATAAAAGGCGTGATGTTGTGTGTTGTGCTCTTAGCTCTTACATTTTTCAATATAAAAGGCGTCAGTCTACCCCTTCGGGGATAAAAGGCATTATGTTATATTATGTGAATGATCTGTTTTTAGCGGGTTTTTACATAAAATCCGCGAACAAATGGTGTCTGCACGACATGAGTAATTAGATTGCTTATGGACAGGCGTGCTGCACCCTAGGCCGCATCATAGCTTACCATGAGGTGAGACAAGGGCCAAAGGTCTACCCATTACCAATAAATAGAAAAACATATCAGGTAAAAGTAAGCTTGACTTTCATAAGTCAGAGGTAAGAAAACTAATGGAGTTTTAATGTCAAAATTAAAAGGTATGTCAGAGTTTATTTTTTATTTTTTTATTTATATTAGACCAGCGGACCCGACAGACGTTGTCCTGCATATCCACTTGAAAGTATAAACAAAATTCATTCAAATTAGTTCAGCCGTTTAGGATAACTAACCTAAACATCGACTGCAGCGCCATCTGCCGGGCTGATTTGTGAATCAATCTAAACCATTCCCAGATCCATTTGAACACACAAAAAAGTTCATCAAAATCGGTCCAGTCGTTTGAGAGATGTTCAGTGACATACACACTCACAGAAGAATTATATATATAAAGATGGGATTGACGTTTGCCCACTATCTCGCCTGGTAAGCGATGATGCGGTCTACGATGGAGCACGTCGACCCATAAGCAACCTATTCACTCGGGCCTTGAAGACACCCAGGTCATACCCTTCAAGAAATACAGATTCTGGCAAAGAATTCCACTCTTTAGTAGTACGCACAAGGAAGCTTGATGCGAAGCGCTTCGTGCGTGTGGGTGGGACATCTACCATGAATCGGTGACGCTTTGCCGATTGTCTTGTGGTATGATGATGGAAAGGACTAGGAGGAATCAAGTTGTGCAATTCCCCCGCACACTCTCCGCAATGTATCCGATAGAAGACTGAAATGCTTGCAACCTTACGCCTGCGTTCGAGGCTTTGAAACCGGGCCTCCACAAGCTCGCCTCGCGATGGTGCTCTAACGCATCCAGCTGATATTTGGCCGAGCCGTCCCAAAGGTGAGAGCAGTACTCCATACAAGAGTTAGCTAAAACACTCTGTTCACTCATTTACAATTGAAAAACCATTTCTATACGAAGAAACTCATGGTTTTTTTGGACCTCTGATCCCCAAAATCAAGTAAGTAACTTGGTTCTCAAACTTTTCCTTTTAAATTGACAGACAAAAAGAAATTTCGAAATCTTATTCCCAAGTTGAGTATTTCATTACATCAAAACCGACAAGTGACGAGCTCATTTTAAACCTTATTTAAGGAGTTCGATAAGTAAGTAAGGTATTGTTTTTCATGAAAGCTCTTAAGGCCTATTTTGGTTTGGAAAGTTGTTAAGGGTAAGAATCTGTAATTTCCGTCGAATTATGTGGATTAGTAAATAACTTTTGCTGTGTTTAGTAATTGTAGGTATTGATTACCTCGTTGGTTTGATTATAAGAAAGGATGGAAAGGGTGATTTGATTTCCATGCGAAGTTAAGAAAGTTTTATAAACAAAATCTGTTTGTCTGTTCTGTACTTTCAGTTAGAACACAGTACGAGCAGTGTGAGCGGTCGCGGCGATGTCAAAGTCAAAGTTAAAGTCAAAGCATTTATTTCAATTAAACCATAATTTGGTACTTTTGAAACGTCAACAATTACAAAATAAATAATAGTCTGTCAGTCAGTCCGTCAGTGAAGCTAGGTGAAGCTAGGTGCTCATTCCAAAATGTAGATTCGAATGGAGAAGAACGAGCAAGAAATTCCATTCGTTACTCTTTTTAAAAAAGTATGTTCTACAATGTGTCTGATACATATTCCAATACTGTACCTATGTATATGTGAGAACAATGCTGATGAACGATGTTGATTGAAGATGTCGGGGAGCCACTAGAGGAAGAGCCCCTCTGTAGCTCGAAACTAGTAGAGGTTTTCTCAATATTTTCACGTGAGTAACCCGCGATTTTTTAGTTAAAAACTATTCAGATTGAGGGAGCATAACTTTATAATGAGTCACCAAATAAAATTAAATGTTACACATCAATTAACATGTTCAAAAATAGATTGAAGTTGTATCTGGCTAAACAACAATGTGATAGTGATACTATATTGTTGTAAACAGATCGAACGACATAATGACATGTAGTTTTGTAAGATGTATTATTAAGTTTCTTATATTTGCCATGGAAAACCTAACGGGATACCGGGGCTCCGGCTCGAAGTGCAGGAGTAGGAACGGGGTGGTTTTTAGTCAATAAGAGTCTGACACTAGGCGGGAGAAGTCATTGAATGATATTCCCTTTTTAAAAAAAAATGGTTGCCTGTAAAGTCGTTTTTACGGGCGAAGATTTTACGTGACAACGTCTTTTTCTCGGTAGAATATTTATTGATATGAATATAATTAAATTGCACAATAGGAACAAGGAATTGAATGAACTAGTGCTGCGCGCGCGGCAGACCGATCATAGTTGAGTGGGAGAGAGACGCAAGGCATTCGGCGGGCCTCTCTCTCGTTCGGTGACTCATCGTAACGTTACCGAGCGTTACACTTTTTCATAAGTGACTCCCAGCCGCAACCTAATTTAAGACGTTGTCACGTCAAAAGATTCTCATATTTAAACGAACTATGAATGTTCTTTCGATAAAATAAAATTTCCTTAGACCGACATTGGTTTACTCAATGCTCATTAAATAATTTGCAATTTATATATCTTCGGAATTTAAAAAGGTGCTAAATTATGTTTCATTATGTTTGTATAGTTTTTATAATAAAATAAAAACTGCATTTAAAAAACCGACTTGAAAAAACCAAAAACTAATAACATACAATCAGTCAAAAATAAAAAGCAAAAAGTAACTAATATTATTATTGATAGGTTGCCCACCCACTGATAGGTAAGAAGTCGGTGCCATATGGTTGGTTTGGTTTGTCATGGTTTATATGACCAGAAAGCAAACGAAAAAACAAATTCTTTAAAAAAAACTAAATAACATTACACCTTTTAACCCCGAAGGGGTAGGCAGAGGTGTACATTATGCCACTGTACGAATTCCTTTACTAATCTCAAAACGTAAACATAAAGAAGCTCAACATTTAATTTTACCACCTCATTACCAAACATACATAACATCATCACGCCTTTTATCCCCAAAGGGGTAGGCAGAGGTGCATATTATGCCACTGTACAATGTAGCACCCACTTTTCACTATTTATGTTATGAGTCCCATGTAATAGGGGTTGAGCCTATTGCCATATACCGGGCACAATTCCAGACTCCGTTGTACTACTGAGAATTTTGTAAAAACCCAGTAATACTTTGCCCGACCCGGGAATCGAATCTAAGACCCCTTGCCAGGCAGTCGCACTTGCGACCACTCGGCCATAGCTATGTAACTGGAGAATTGTGAACTTGATTGAAAAAGAGTAACCTATGGAGTTTCTTGCTCGTTCTTCTCCATAGGAATCTACACCTTGGAATGAGCAAATAGCTTCACTTGTTAATTTTCTTTATTGACGTTCAAAAGTGCCTCTATGGCCTTATTGAAATAAATGATTTTGACTTTGACTTTGACTTTGAAAGAGGCAGTCACTCGGCCACCGAGGCAGTCATTACCAAACACTATAACAAGAAAATGCTTCGTACAAAACTAAACAGTACTCGTTCGCCAAAAACCCCACAGACTAAAAAAACTTCCTTCACTATACAAAACAGTAGGGCAACGTATTCAGCCTGTTTGCATACGGACTATACTCTGTGTTCATTAAAATGCATGAAGTGACGTCATTCGGTGGCATAGAGTATTTTGTGGTATCGTTTTGTGCCTACTCGGGCGAGACTCTGTGAGGCTTTGGTTTTAAGTGAAGTAGAATGGTTACTGTCGTGGTGACTTGGAGGTTTAAGATGCCCACTTCGCATGCATGAGGGTGCGAGTTTGAAACCTACCAACGACAGGTACCAATGTGATTTTTACCGAGTTATATGTACTTTCTAAGCTTATCTAGACACCATTGACAAACGGTGAAGGAAAACATCGTGAGGAAACCTGGGCTCAAAAATCCTAATAGGGTAGACGACTAATTTTTATTTTAATGTCCGTCTGGTAGATTGTTTTAAATCATTACACACGTATTTTTTATTGATTTGAAATGTCGCGTGACGTCACTTTTATGTAAAATTATATGTATATTAACTTAGTTACTGCCTACTGTTTCGAAGTATATCTATTCATTACATTTCCATGTGAGAGGGAGTTTAAAAGCTAATAATATTATACCGAGGTGGTAAATAAAGTAAAAAGCAACAAAAATAAATAGCCTTGTAAATATAATTATGCGCAAGTAAGCAACTAAAGTTACTTCTCAGTTTAACTGTTCATGGAAAAACAAACTTGATGTTATGATTTTTGTACTTTCATTATTCTA